CCCATTCTTATTTCAGGTATGTGCCTTTTAAAAGTTGTGTACCCGCTTAGGTACAATGGCAAAATGTGTAGGTGAAATAAAAAATTGTATCTTTTGGTTAGGATGGCTATTTCCACTTCGTGTTTTTATGGAAAGAGATATAAASAACTTTCACAGGCGTTCTGTAAGCCCTATTTGGAACAACGAAGCATRCAACTTGACAATGGATTCGACGACTATATATATAGAAAATAAGATGAAAATGAAAATGGATTTGGATGGTAGAAGTCCCGTTGAGGTATTTGTATGCTTCTCAAAAAATTCGCATAAATTTATATTCGACGAAGATGATCTAAAAGTCTTTTTAGGCATTTTATTTTACGCTGGTTACCATTCAATTCAATGCCAAGAGAATCTATRATGAAGAATTTAGGATGAAGACACGTTATCACCTCTTGTAAGCAATAACATTTCTATAAACAGGTTTTTGGAAATAAAACGCCACATTCATTTTACAAACAATAGTGAAATTGACAAGTCTGATAAAATGGCTAAAACTCGCCCACTGTCGATCTATTATGCGAAAAGTTTCAAAAGAAAAGCTTTCAATTGACGAGGCAGTGGTAAAATATTTTGGCCATCATTCAGCGAAACAATTCATCAAAGGAAAGCCCGTGAGATTCGGATTTAAAAATTGKATGCTCACAAGTAGCTGTGGGTACTTGTACCAATTTGATACATACTGTGGTGCTAAAAATGTTGATAGTGATACAAGACATCTTCCCCTTGGATCTCGAGTTGTGTTCGATCTAATAAAAGCCATAAATAACCCAAGCGATCATATTATATATTTTGACAATTTTTACACAAGTCATGAACTTCTACGTATGTTGCGTGAAAAAAACTTCAAAGCCGTAGGAACAACGAGAAAAAATAGGACTAAAAAATGTCCTTTGAATSCAAAAAAATCTTTCCAAAAACAAGCAAGAGGATATTTCGAGATCAAATAYGACCACAATAGTAAAATATTGTTTGTCAAGTGGAATGACAATAATGTCGTAACTATGGGAACTAATTTTG